TGAGACAGCGTGAGTGGGAGTGGGAGAGAGGCAGAGAGAGAGAGACACACACACACACACACACACACACAGAATGTGAAGGAGGCTCCAGGCTGTCAGCACAGAGCCTGACACGGGACTCGAACCCGTGAACTGTGAGATCATGACCTGAGTCGAAGTCGGACGCTCAACCGACTGAGCCCCCCAGGCGCCCCAAGAACAACCTTAGTTTTTAGGGAAGAGCCCTTTTCTCTGTGAAGAATCAGAGTTCGGTTCTTTGCGATACAAACCACGCTTGTTTCTTCGACTGTGGTCGGAGGTTAACCTTGAGCCCACACTGTACTCAGCCTGGTGTGCGGTTCCCCGCAGCTGGGGTTAAACACGTGGAAAGGAAAGACATCTCACACCTGGTTTGGCTGTTCCCCCCCACCCCGCCGGCCATCCAGTCAAAATGATGTGTCCTCTCAGGGACGGAGGAGACCACATTTAGTGACCGCGTCATGCTTTCTGCTCAGGAGTCTGTGACCGTTGTCCCGGGAGAGCCATCCCCTTCTTGCTTGGGTCCGAGTGACCCAGGGCAGCTTGTGTCTGCTTGTTCGCAAGCGGGCGCGGGGCCCCTGCCCCGCACGGCCCCTGCGCTGCGCATCACGGTCACGTAACGTTCACACTTCCCTTTTCCAAGAGACGACATTTTAGTCCTTGCGCGTCAGTGGAGTGATGGCCGCACGTTTTCTGCAGCGCCGTGGTTGTCCACCCCGAAATCGCGCCGCGTGTGTGCAGCACGGCGCACCTCCGCGAAGTTGCCGCTTTGCGGGCTGTGTGCGAGGCGCTTACCGTATGCGGTGTTAGGGCTGGTCTTTGCAAACTCGCCGTATGTTTTTTAAGTCTGGCTTATTAACGGTCGAAGGACTTGAGTAGCTTACTCGTGTATCTCGGAGTGTAGTCAGACTTGTGAGTAGACGGCAGTGACGGCGTTTTAAGACCGGAAGGTTTCTTCCCAGGGTATGTAAGGCAGATGATCACATTTCTTATTTCCTTAATTCTGTCCGCTCTCCCCCGAAGCAGGCGTTGTTTGTTACGAAACGGTTAAAAGGGAGGGAGTTGAAGAAGCCAGATCGCTTGGATTTAAATTCCAGCCCTGATGTTCACTGGCCGTGTGCCTTGTTTCCTGATCTGTAAAAGGGGGTAATGGGGTTCTCGTGAGGAGTTCACGAATGATCGTTCGTTAAATGTCCGTCCAGAGAACTGTGTGCCCAGTCTGTGGGGTCTGTCGCACTAAATAGATGGGGAACCCAAAGACCAGTTCTCGACCCAATGGCAAAGCAGCCTTCTTGCCATCGCACGTCACACCCTTAGCTCCAGCCGTGGTGTCTTGGGTCACCCAAACGGGACACGGTTCAGTTCTTCCCTCTTCGTTCGTTAGGCTGTATGTTACGATTCACGTCCGTGTCTGGATGATGTTACGTGTCTACAAAATGTGCCAAGTGTGTGTTTGTGAAGCCCCTGTCGCTCCCCCCTTCCCTCGGTCTCCACGCTGAGACCAGGGCCCTGACTTCACACCTTTCTTCTGCAGGGCAAAAGGACAAACTTACGTAAAACTGGCTCTGACAGGATCGCCCATGGCATGAGGGTGAAGTTCAACCCCCTGGCCCTGCTCCTGGACTCCTCTCTGGAGGGGGAGTTTGACCTCGTTCAGAGAATTATCTATGAGGTACCGTCTAATGATACGACCTTGTGTCCCTTTCGGATCTCCGATCTGAGAGAGAGGAATTGCATCTTTAAATTGTGGGGGTCGGGGCGAGGTGTCGAAGGGGGGCGGCGAGCACTCCCCGGGACAGGCTGTGCTGGTGGAAGGTGTGACATAAAGTTGGGGGCCCTCTGGGGTCTGGCCTTTCTCCGGGAGATCTCCACCCTCTTGTACAGTTGTGCCTGCATGGGTCCGGACCGCACAGGGTTCATGGTCGTGCCTGTGTGGGTCCGGACCGTGCAGCGTTAAACTGCAGGTGTGGGTCTTATTTCAGAAGCCTGCTATTTAAAATATTTTTAGTTGCCCTGTTTTCCTTTCCATGGCAAGTGCACCTTGTCCTTAGACACTAATTTGTGGTGGGAGTCGGAGGGTAAGTAAACATCAGTGACTCTGAGGGTAGAGTTTCCGGCCCCTCTTCATGGGTAAGAGCCTTTTTATAGTGAGCGCCTACTTACTCTGGCTTCCCCGCCGCCCTCATTTCTAGACTTGCTCTTGGTAGAATTTTCCTGGCTCCTGAGGTTTAATTATGACGGAAAATAACCCCAAGAGCCTGCGTCTGTTCTCTTGATCCTGGACAGCTGGTGGATTGTGGTTGAACGGTGACAGAAGTGTGAGTGACAGTCACCCTTCTTCTCGATGTCACAGGTTGATGACCCAAGCCTGCCGAATGATGAGGGCATCACCGCCCTTCACAATGCCGTGTGCGCGGGCCATACAGAAATCGTGAAGTTCCTGGTGCAGTTTGGTGTGAACGTAAATGCCGCAGACAGTGACGGATGGTAAGGTCCTCGCTGACCCCTGCCCCGGCTTCAGGGTGTCACCGTGAGGGCCCTGCCGGGTGGTGAGAGCATCCACGTGCGTCCTGCCACGGCTCGTGCCCAGACTCCCCTCTCGCTCCCGTTCTGGGGCACGTGGGGTGTTGGAGTTTAGTAGTTAAGTAATAAAAACAGGAAATGTCACAGCCGCACACAGTAGACTCGAGCGAGTTTGAGAAATGCTGATTTAAGCAAGGTCCCTTCACCCATGAAACCTCTGTTTTTAATATACTGCTGTCCATTGCACGTCTGCACGAGGGAGTCGGGTTTGTTGACTTTCCCAAATACACGTGACCGTGGAATCCATTTTTTGTGGACCATTTTGTGAAATGGTTTTATGTGCATAAAGCATAGGAGGAACTGTTACAAGTGATGAGTGTTCCTCATGCGATAATGGATTGTTACATAACGAGTTAAAGGTCTTGATAAGATATTGTCAGCCCGGTAACAGTAATAGAATGGAGAGTAAATTTTGTAATTTTTCTTTTTTTCTTTTTGGAAAAAGAAAATTTTAAATTACGATAGGCTCTTTTTTGGAAGAAGACTTGTTTTTTTCCGTATAGGATTTTTAAAAACCTGGAATCACGTGAAGATATTTATGCAGGTATTTTTATAGCTTATTTTTCTGTTAACGTGGTAAGTGGCTGTACGATGACGTCGGCTTTACCTCGTGCACAGGTGTATGTCACGTGCGTGCACACAGGTGCAGAATAGCCCTACATTGCGAGGAGTGACTCTCTCTCTTGTTCGACACTTAGATCATCCCCCAGGTGTTTGTGCCAAAGCATTTTGGTTACAGTTTTTAAAAATTACATTTATAAAAGTAACGTGTATGCTGTGGAAAATGTGTGTAAAAGGAAATGAGAAGAGGAGATCAGCCATCGTACCCCACAACGTAGAGAGATCAGCATCAGTGCTTCTTAAGTATATTCCTTTAAAGCTTACGTACGCGTATGTATTTTAGCCTGATTTTTTGGTTTAACTTTACACCGTAAGCAAAACAAATTTTTTAAGTGATCTCTGTGCTCACAGTGGGGCTTGACCTCACGACCTGAGAACAAGAGTCTCACATTCCTCTGAGCCAGCTGGCCCCCGCCCCAAAACAAGTTCTTGATGTGTCATAATGTCTTCGTTTCCTTTTTATTAGGAATGTATGTATAGTTTTTCATTTTTTAAAACCACGCACTTAACAAACCTGCAGTAATCCCAAAGTGAGCGGTGGGGGGAATACGTGATCTTAGAGACTGTGCCCTCGGGAGGAATAAAAAGAGGGGAGAGAGGAAACAGGTGAAAGCGTGAAATCTGTGCGATTCGGGGCCTGGTCCACATCCTCCAGTTCACACTTGAGCTGGGCCATGGCGCCAGGTCCTCTTCCTCTTCCGTGGGTCTGGATCACTTAGCGCTCGCTGCAGACATCTGAGGTGCTGGAGGGGACTCTCCGTATGGTGTCCGCGAGTCCCTGCCGGCCAGCTGCTGAACAGACTGAAACGTGTGCGGTTGACAGTCCCTGTTCTCGTCTGCATTGAACT